AAAGGACATTCCCACTAAAATTTATCCTATTAAAAAAATATACTCGTATTTAAAAATGACAATTTGGACGGCACACCCTCGGCGCTTTAAACATTTGGAGTTGGGTGTGAAGTTGAAAGAGAGTCCAAGCAACAAATTGAAGACAATTCCGAACAAAGTCCTGAGCGAATTACTAGTTTTCAGTTCCAAATTCCATTTTTGGTTGCTCGTTACAAGGTAAAAAAAAAAAAAAAAAATCATCACTCGATTCTACCTTATAAGCATTCTCTTCCCATTTGGTCTTTGAAATTCCAGAATTTTTCTCGATTATAGGTGTTTTTGTGCAAACCCATGTATGTATCATTGTATATATACATACATATGTGTCTTTTTTCTTCTGTTTTTTTTTTGTCTATATATCAGTTTTTGTTTCTTTTCTGTGACTATTACTCATGAATCATAAAATTTTCAATTTTTTATTGTGCTGATGGAATATCTTGTTGTGTTTCTTCGATTTTTTTCAATTAATTTTCATTTCATAACTGAGTATTTGTATGTGAGAGTTTAGTTAATTGGGATTACACATGGTTACCTTTGAGGTGTGTATTTCAGTCATCTGGCAAGTTTCAAGGCTTAACAATGAAAACAAAGCCATCAATAAAAATAGAGGATTTCACCATATATATTTTGTGTGATTATATGCATGTTCATATTGGGCATGGACAAAGTTTTACACAGGTTGTTAAGCTGCCTAAAGCAACCCTCCTCCTCTATCCGGGCTTGGGGCCGGCTGTGTAATGAAACACGGGCGGAGTTTGATATATACATACACACATATATCTGTGGTAAATAAGCAAATGCACACACATTTTTCCCTCTTGAGGTTTGATTCCTCAACCTTCCCTTTGGAAAAGTGGAGGTTGTACCATCCAGGCCAAGGCCCTTTTTCTTTTTTGAATTTTTTAAAATTGAAATAACAATATTTAAGATTTTTAAAATCCTTGTTGAAATGGTTATCATTTTCTCAAATGACTCCGTTTATGGAGATAATTTTCTACATTGGAACTTTGAAGTGAATGAGGCCTTTGAAATTTAAGAGAGATCCTCCCTAGTTACTTATTTAGCGGATATCATTTGAAGATCCTAGAGTGTAGTGCTGGCTTGAGACCTGTATTGGATAGTTCGATCATTGTGACTGTTTAAACTAGAATTGCTTTTGATTATTACAAGTTATCATTTTTGACTCGTATGACTTATATTCTTATATTAGGTTGGTGAAGGACTGTTGGAACTGAGAATTCTTTATGTTGAAGCATAATTAGTGTTGGTAGTTGCCATTTCCACATCCCTCTCCCTCCCTTTGGTACACATGGATATGTGAGAGTGAGGACAATAGTTCCTCCCTCGATGTTTTGTAAAGAACAAATGGAAGTTCACAAATTTTGCTATTAGACTCTCTTGAATGTCAGTATCTAGGAGGTATCCAACTTAGATAGCTCATTCATTCATTTCGTTTTTTTTTTTTTTTGATCTTTTCATGTTCTGGCATTGTGTGAGAAGATAATTCACTTATTCAATGTGCTCACTGCTCATGCAGCAATTATTCTTTCTTGTATAGTAAAATGTTATTTATATTGGATATCAATTTCGTTTTTAATAGACTAACTGGTTTACTTGTTTTCTAGTGTCATTAAAATGGTGAACGATTAGTACCTAGAAAGTACCAATAGTCCTTGAACCCATCAGACATTAGCTCAGCTTATATGTGATCATTGGTTTTATAGGGTTGACTGAATCCCAGAGTCAAATCATTATCCTTTATGATGTTTAGAGTACATAAATGCATGAATTTACTTATTATAGAAGGAATCATACTATCTTATTTACTGGAGGCATCTCTTTATAAACTTTTAGCTGGATTTTTGTCTCTTATTAAATTTTAATAACGAGTATCTTTTTGATATGTAGAATTATCAGTGTACACACAAATTTCATGTCTTCAAAATTAAAGAACAAAATGTGGAACAAATCATTTTTATTGATTGTGTAAAATGAAAGAGTACAATCCTCTGTATATCTTTACAAAAGAAAGAATTTGTCCTTTGCTTCGATCTCCTTTATGGTCAAGATCCAAGAATTACTCGAATATGATCTTGAATCTGGTTTGTCAAGAGTCTTCTAAAAGTATATGTTGTTAAAGAAAACTCCAAAGAGTTTCTGATCGAGGGCTCAAACAGCTTGATCTCAAACAATTTTGTTTGGGGATTCTTCAAAGCTGTTGAATCTTTAGGAAGAACGGCACGATTTTGAATGGGCTTGTTGTTCTTCGGCTTTAGAGCTTGAATGTTGATAGAGTGAAGAGTTCGATGGAGGTTTAGTATTGTCTGAATCTTCTCTCTGAGTCTTCTTGTTTTTTTCTCTACCCTTCTACCTCTATTTATAGGCTTCACCTTTGATAATTATCCTAATTATCATGATAATTATACAGAATTATCCTTGAGGATAATCATACATGATTATCTTGTGACCCATTTTAGAAGTGAGTGTGGACTCATTGGGTAATTTAATTTGACCCATGAAAGTGGACTTGAGCTTTAGGCAATTTGGTCTGAACCATGTAACCCATATTTGGTGATGGGTCGAGTTAGCCTTGATGGAGGCCCAACTAATCTTACTTGACTTTTTGATCAATCAAATGGCAGTAATCATCTTAAAATTTTGATGTCACCAACAGGCCAGTGGTCTAGCGGTATCAAGCCCCTACTTCCCTAAAGAAGGTCAGGGGTTCAAGCCTTAGTGGAGGCATAGGTGTGTGAGTACCAACTAAGAAAAAAAAAAAAAAAAAAAAAAAAAAATTGATGTCTATAATCAGGTTCGATAAAGATTTTCTTCTGTTTTGTTTCTAATATTTGGAGTTCAGTTTTTCTGCCAGAAGTTGGCTACCCAACTGCCTGTATTTTTTAATTGAATTGTTGTTTATGACTTCAATGTAAGTTGTTTTTTAAAATGGGGTTTTTTTTGCTATCTTGCTCATAAAATTTTATTTTATTTTTTTTGTAAGTCAATTAGAATGTCATTGTCACGAGTTACATGTATTCTTTTAAAAATTCTATATTTATACAAGGCAGTGACTCGCATTCAAAGTTTAGAATATTCAGTTTAACTTGTAGGGAAATACATGTTTGCCAATCATGCATTTGCTTATGGGCTACTTTAACTATTTTTATCTGTTGGAAAAACGTTAAAGGTAGGTAATAAGGGGGCAAACACGGGTGATGGTGCTGACACGTTGGTGTCGTGTTCAACATAGATATGTAACTTAAGCGGAAAATAATAAAACCACATAAATATGTAACTTAGCTTAAATAATGCATGTCAAATTATATCTTGATATGCCATAATTGACCAAAACAGCAGCAAAGAGAATACCAAATTGTGGAAGAAAAGGCTCTGAAAAAGATAGGTAAAAGGATATTTCAAATATGATGTTTGTAAACTTAATGGGCCTTGTGGAAGGTTATTGTCAACTTAATTGGCAAAGTCTATTGGATACCATCTTATCCTTCTGTCCTATCAAAAGAGAGAGTCATTATGCTAACTCATTGGCTTGTCCACTACAAAAGTCAATAAGATGACATTTTCCCAGCTGAACCTAGTTGATGTGCTCATCATAAGAACTGTGTTGTGGATTACCTTTTCAGATTTTTTAATTTTATGGCAGTTGTTGTATTATGAACCAACTGTGGGTATCAGGCACCAAATTAAGAAGTGTGAGATAGTTTAATTTTTTCATAAAACTGTGATACGGGTGGCCTGACTTTGTATAGAGATAGTTTTTCTAAAACAATGTTATTCTTATAATATATTATCACACCATATATGCTGTTGTCTTAATTTTTTAAGGATAAGTCACGTTGTTTTATGTATTCGTATCATTCGTATTTGTATCCCATATTTGTATACGTGCTTCTTAGCGTGGTAATAACCTATTGGAGTATGCCTATTACATGTGACAAATTTCTGCAAGACCGTCCCATTAACACGTGGAGGTATCCCATTGATCGCGTTGGTATCTAACGTGGGAAACTTGATTGCCTCAGCATCACTTGATGCTGCAGGCCTCCTCTATGTGTCAGGCGTTGCTATCTCTATAATGCAGGCGGCCGCACCCCACTGTGGTAGAGATTCATGATATGGCCTTATTAGACTCCATGTCGATATGAGCATTGCCTTGCCCTCCCTCTTGAATTATAAATAGGTCTTTACTATATATTAAGAAAAGATTAAAGAATCCACAAAAGACTCACTAGCATATTTAGCACTCCACTTAAAAGAGCCTTGAGAACCCTCAACCAGACATTGACCTCTTTAGACTTGAATTGAACTTGAGTAAGGCCTTCAGTCCTGAATTTTGCGGACTCCACAATGACCTTGATACTAATTACTACCACTCTCTATCTGTCTCTCTTTTACAAATTAGTCTTGACTCCCACCTTGTTCAGTCCACAATTACATATACCAGCAAGCAAACCCACCCCACCACCCTTCACACTTGTTACACATCCATGGCTACTTCTATCTCTCTATATTGTGGTTCACCTGACTGAATTAGTACCTTTCATATAATAGCAATCATCATCATCATCATCATCATCCTTGCCTTTATCCCGTACAAACGGGGTCAGCCACATGGATTCTCTTTTTCCACTCTTTTCAAGTTCACTGCATTTCCCGGTTAATGTTCCTATATTCCATGTTGCTACTCTAAGTTTGTGCTTTAATCCAATTTTATTTTCCTCCTAACGTGAGAATTCATCATTGGTAGTGATAATAATATTTATAATTCTGTTCAGTAATTTCCTACTTATGCTTGATTCACATACGCTTCTTTTCTTCTTTTTTTAATTCATTTTATAGGTGAACTATCTTTTGTCATGGTCAGTGGTTTTATTAATACAATAAGTGAAGAAAGGATTATGGAGTAGTCTCTCATGTGTTCTGATAGGTGAGTGATAAATATCATCCTCTTTTATTTTACTGTTTGAATATTTAAATGTTTTTGCAGTTATAGAGGTGAGACCTAGTTGATGAAGATTTTTATTTATAGAACCTCCAGACACCTGTAACTTCTATATTTAAACATGTGACATCATAAGTGAAGAATGATATGCACAATAGATGCTATTGCATTAATTACTCTCTCTGATCTCGTACAGCTTAAGTGAAGATAAATGCTGATTTACTTTTATACCAACAAATATCGGAAAGAGATAAAGGGAAATCTAGAACCATCTGGATGAAGTAAATCCCTGAAACTTGTGATGGACTAAATTGAGAATTCAGTCCCGAGGTAAGCCGTGTCACATGGCATGTCATCCATGCCCCTTAGGGTAGGGTAAGGACTATTGAGCTGCATGTCAGAGAGCATTTCACGAAGTTCTGAGGCTTCTTCTTTGAGCTGAGCATTCTCTTGAACTACTCGGTCATGGCTCTCTGAAACATTGTTCAGTTTATCCATGAGCTGATGATTCTCGTTTCGCAGCCAAACAACCTGTGACCAAAGCTCGTTCAGGTGCTTCTGCTTGCGCATGCGTGATCGGCGTGCAGACTCTCTATTGGATATCATTCTTCTCTGCTTTCTCTCATTGATGATACTTTGTTGTTGCTCATCTGCTTCGTCAGAAGTTGTGTTGCTGCTTAAATATGTAAACTGTGGGTTGAATTCTTGAACCTGAGGACTCATCTGAGGATGATATAAAGGATTAGAGACTCTGCCTAACTGAAATGCGGGTGTGTTGTTTTGGGTCAAACTATAGTGAACAGCGTATGGAGTTGGGTTGGAAGGAACTAGATAATGAAGTTCTGTAACCTCACTGGGTTGCATGGCTTTGAACTTTTTTTGGTTGCTGGTACTAATTTTTGAAAGGGTTTTTAAGAGGTCAGGTAGAGGAAGTTGATATGGAGAGAAGACCAGGGGAAGCTTGAAGGGAGTCCGTATTTTATAGGACGGGAAAAGTTGAAGTGGCCCCACTTTGGCAATTAGAGGTACATGGGTTTGTTAAAGATGAGACAATTGGAATATGATGCAGAACATGTGCCTGTGCTTATATATGTAGCATCATATCCATGTACACATGGGAACATGCAACATTAAGCCTATGTAGGTATTATTCATGTCCTCTATGGTCAATCAATGTTAAATGTAAGCATGCATGCAATGAGATTATGAGATATTAGTGATTTTTATCTATTCACATGTATACATACATGGGGAGTAGGAATGGAGTTGTGGATAATTTGAGATCAAATAATGCTTACATCAGAGAGAGAGAGAGAGAGAGTATAATTAATGGAGGAATTTTAGGTAGAATAAAGCAAATGAATGAAATGGGGTTCACAAAGTCAATCTTAAAAGTGGGGTTATTTGCCAAGCTGAGCCAACATATATATGATGAGTTTTACTCTTAAATGTTCTTAGCCTTGGTGACGTGAAGGAATTGGAGGAGGTTGGGAAGGCAACACCTGAGTGGAAAAGATTGTGTAAAGAATTGATGAGTCAACAACCACTTTGATGCGATTCGTCACAAAGTAATCTGCTTAATCCTTAGTATTTTGGGTTTAGGGATCACGGCTTCTTGTGGCATACTTAGTTGCCAACTAGTGTGGTATATCATGGTTAGGGACGGTGTCTTAATTATTGTTGTGCTAAAATCTGCAGACAAAAGTGAATTATTATGTTTTCCTTGGCATTCTTTGGAAGAATGACAGCATCACCTTCCACCGTGATTGGTAAGTGGTAAAACAGTAAAGCTGAGGGAAAGTGCAATGTTTTTGATGTAATATTTTAGCAGATAAAATTGCCATGTTATTAGGATATCTTAGAACTCCACATGGAAAATTAATTTCTTTCTTCTGGTTCTCCATCAAACTGCAAGACAAATTAGAATCATTCATTCAGATAACAAAATATAATGTAGTCATTACTTTAAAGGATGAAGAAATTGAAACTGCATCATTTTGTTAGATCCTTGAACTCCACTGTTTATGCCAATAATAGGCTCTCAGATAACAAGCACACACACTCACACACCACAACACCCCATGTGGGGCTTGGAATTCTTGCTCCCCTTTGGGAAGGAGAGCTCATACTACCAGGGCCAATGACATGGTGGTTCTATATATGAAAAAAGACTAGTAGTTTCTCATTATCTCATCTCTAGGTTATTAACATAGAACCATCCCGCAAACCAAATGCTGACTTCAGTAGTAAGATGAGAGTCGAAGCGTAGAGCTTTAGAAGAAAACAAGGTTCTAAAAATACTTTGATAGATTTAGAAGGTAACTAAAAGCTGATGCTTTGGCTTAACTCATGAATTATGAAATGTGTAATTTGAGGTATGTTTGGTTTGATTCTCTTAAATAAAAAGAAAAAACTAGAAGAATGTTTACCCAAAATTGGATCTTTTCAACCAAACAAATTTATTTATTTTATTTTATTTCTGTTTTTCCATTCTCTAAGAATGTAAAACTATTTAGTTACTGATGACTGATTGCTGATGATTCCATATAGTTGAGGTAACACATTAAATAACAACTATAATACATTATTTCATTAACCAGTAGGTCTCGTTTGTCATTTTGTCATAGTTTTGCATTTGCATTGAATATCTCTAACACATGTTATCCACTCTCTAGGACGCATGAGCTTGCACCAGCATGTGTCGGGGAGGCAAATTCTGAATGCAACTTGATTCAGGTAAATTTTAAAGGTTATTAGCTTTTGTTCCAACCACACAACTTACTGAGTGTGAAGAAGTGGAAAAAGCTTGTTTGTTATATGGTGGTGGGGATGGTGAGGGGAAAGATATGGATGGAACTTTGAAATGCAGTCTTCCACTAATGAAAGGAACTTTGTAATGCATCCAGAACCAGAATCCTATGGGGGCAAGTGCTCCCTCTCCCTACTTCATGTGGAGTCAGGTTGAGTGGACTGAACGGTCAACAATATCATTAGACAATATGGACTCCTCTTTCTTTTCTTGTCTTCAGATTGTTCTTACCTTGTTTTATTTTCCTCTACTTTCTTCTTTATTTTCGCTTTCTTTCTTGGTAAAGTTTTTTTGTTTTTGTTTTTGTTTTCTCTTTTTTTTTGATATGAGGATTGGGAGTATAAAACTGATTAATGAATGTAGTTGACTAAATATGCGAGTGTGTATTCTTGTTTGGTGTACTCGTATAGATACATTACTTTACACTGCAGATTATGCACCAATTATATGTCAACAGCAAGAAATTTACCCCAGGACTTAGCCACCCTCTTTCTTTCCTTTTCTTTTCTTTTCCCTTTCTTTCCTGGTAAAGTTTTTTTTTTTTTTTTTTTTTTTTTTTTTTTTTTCCTTATGAGGATTGGGAGTATAAAGGTGGTTAATGAATGTATTTGAGTAAATATATCAGTATGTATTCTTGTTTAATGTACTCGTATAGATACATTACTTTATGCACCAATTATGTGTTAACAGCTAAAAAGTCACCCCAGGGATGACTTAGCCACCCTCTTTCTTTCTTTTCTTTTCCCTTTTCCTTTTTCGTTTCTTTGCTGAGCAAAGAGAAATATTTATGGTCCTTTTTGTGGGAGGGAAGAGCTTGAGGAAGGAAAGGGGGAGAAATGGACAGAGTTTTCATTTGTTTGATATGGAGGAAGATAAAAAGAAATACGGAGCTAGATATATATATTATTGCTGAGCTGGACAAGATTTTCTAGGGTATACCAATGGCCCATAGGTATCTATTTGGTTACTGTGTTGCAGGGAAATTTTTATTGTAGTTTTGAATTTCTCAAGAGCTAGCCTATGCTTGGTCTCACCATTTTTCAAAATGGAGCACTAACCATGGGACCAAGGTCCCTCTCAAGTGGCATGCTGTGTTGATAAAAGAAAGTCAAGTGGCCTACAATGGGTTGTTTAGGTTATTTAATTTGCCTAAGACTGCCTTCATCTTGATCCTTTTCAGATCTCGTAATGATGGGAGTTTCATACACTAAGCTTGGCCTTGCTTGGATGATTCCACAGTTAATCCATATTTATATGGATATATATTCTTTTAATCAATGTTTTTGATGTGCATCTATAAAAGACAATTATTTTCAAATTGTTTCTCCATTTGTTAATACAAAACAAATATTCCTAATATTTCAGATAGCAGTTCTATGTTGTTAATACAATTGAAAGACATAAATACATATGTATATACACACACAAGCTCATTTCCAGAATGAACTGGGATCCTCTGTGGTGTGTGGAACATTCTTTATCGCATATACGAATCTCAACATTTGCATGTGTGAGCAAGGGCTCAAGTGCTCAATAATTGCTTTTTATATCAGGAGATTACTTGAGTTCAATAATTGCTTTTTATATCAGGAGATATATGGGATCCTATTACAACGCATTTGACGGATTTCAGTTCACACATTTATCATGTGCACAGGTTAAGGTACAACACGTATTCTACACTCATGTTCGCACATATATCATGTGCACGGGTTAAGTTACAACACGTATTATACACTCATACGTGTGAGTTGAGATCCATGGAGTATGCACATCCCAACTCCTTATCAGGTGTGGAAAGAGCAATTATTGAGCACCTGAGTGTGTACAAATCTTTATCTATCTTTAACGCCCATTCCCATATCTCTTCTATTTTTACCATTATATCCTTCATAGGGAAGGAAAACCGTACGAAAGATCCAAAAGAATGGAAAGGACAATTTGGGAAGGTAAACAGAATGAGCATATGTCGACTTGGGACACTGCCCTAAAAACACGGACGGGAGTCTGGCACGGAGGGGTGGGTACCCTTAAAAGTACCAAACCACTGAAAAACACACACCAAAAATATGTAAACCAAAAATGTGTAAACCATGGTAGACGACGAAAAGAACCCGGGCGCATTATATATTTTGCCCGTGGGCTCCACTAACAAGCGCGCGTGGGTGCCAGGTGCACCACCCCTCCCCTATTGCCCTACTACCCTCAACTTGTTATCCTACTCCTTGGCCCAAGAGACTTTTTCAGGTCCTCCAATCCTATGATAGGGCTCTCAATTTTGTGGGATACCATCACTTGTACCTTTTGTGACCATGGGTGCACCCCACTATAGCCTACCTTAACATTTTAATTGATTCAATAACTCAGGAGGGCACATATCTTTTGCTCCAAACCAATGGACCGAAGCCGCGTTAATACAGAGAGATTGAGTGTCTGAACCTCTATTAGGGGCAATATTGTGAGTGCACATATGTTTGTTTAAATTTTCTGGGATACCATCACTTGTACCTTTTGTGACCATTTGTGCACCCCACTATAACCTACCTTAACATTTTAATTGATTCATTAACTCAGGAGGGCACATATCTTTTGCTCCAAACCAATGGACCGACGCCGCGTTAATACAGAGAGATTGAGTGTCCGAACCTCTATTGGGGGCAATATTGTGAGTGCACATACGTTTGCTTAAATTTTCAAATATATATATGGATAAAAGAAATAAGATGATTTGAAACAATTTCTGAAGAAATGAGATGATTTAAATAAAAGTTCTACTGTATAAAAGAATATTTATATGCTTTTTAATATTTTCCTTCTATATTCTTTGTTCCCTACTACCTTTTTGTTTTTCATTTACAAGGTGATAGTTTTTCAAGTTTTTTTTTTTCTCCACTTTATTCCTTTCCCTCTTTTTAGGTACTTTTCTCTCCTCCTTTCACACGAGCCGGTTACTATTTTCACGTGTCTTTAACTTCTTCTATCCATGGTATAACATTCATTTTGTAGAGATTGGATCTAATGTTGTATAGCACTGAACGACCTCGATCACTCATACGTGTGGCACGATCGCACATGTGAGTGATCATGGCCGTCTGCTGCAATACAGCACGCGTGTTATATTGCATAATATCTAAACTCTATTTTGTAACAACAATTGCACTTGTGAATGCTAAAAGTTGTATCATTTGGACAATCAGATGATTTAACTTAAAGTTCTACTATATAAAAGAGGATTTATATGATTTTTAATCTTTTCCTTCAATATTCTTTTTTCCCTACTACCTTTCTGTTTTTCATTT